ATTTTAATTATTGTTATAACATCGTATTTTCTTGTTTGTTATATTTGAATATAATATTTGTGTGTTTTTTTTAAGAATCTTTCTTATTCGGCAGTCGCTATAATATATTTATATAGTCTATATAAACATGGTCGAGAAATGCGTGGCTTCCGAAATACAGGGTGTTTAAATATACTTTCTAAAATAGTTTTTTTTAAATATTTCGAACAATATTTGATGTATAACAGTGAAAATTGGTATACAAGGGTTTTTTGGTACGACAAAACGAACCATTATAGTTTTACTGTAGCCGCTAGAGGGCGCTCTCTACTGTACCTGTAGTGTATTAAAATGACCGAAAATTTTTCTTAGTGCAATTTTTTGCTTTTTGAATAAAAAAACTGATTCTTCGCACTTTTCAACATAAAAAAGCTCTCTTGTGAATGTTCGTTATAGTTAGCCGTTTTTGAGATATTTCGATTTTTAAGGTTCGATATTTTTAATTATTTATGATAAAATAACGTTAAAAAGTCAGTATCTCGATAATTTTTAGAAGTAGGCTGTGCCTGCAAATATTTTTGAAATTGAAAGCAGACTAAGGTTAAACCTCAATTAGTTGACAGTTAGTTGAATGCACGAAATTTAGTTTCTTTTACCTGTTTTTTTTTGTAAGTTTTATAAAATGCCATTTTTATTCTCCAATCAAGAGTTAGCGGATATTCATTTTGTGTATGGCTTTGTAAATGGAAACGCAGCAGAAGCAGCCAGAGAATACGCACGAAGATTTCCAAACAGACGACATCCAACTCGCTCAGTATTTGTAAGAGTGCATCGCCAAATAATTGAAAATGGTTTTGGAAATCTCCAAAGGGATCAAACATAAATGTTCGTCAGCGCAGATTTACCCGTATGATTCTGCGTGAGTTTGATAGAGATCCGACCACAAGTGTTAGGAGAGTTTCTGGTGCCTTGGGAATTTCAGCAAGCCATGTTCACCGTGTTCTTAGAAATGACCATAGACGTCCTTACCATTTGCAACCTGTGCAAGGACTACAGCCAGGGACGAGAACGAAGAATCACATTTTGTCAGTGGATTCTTGATAGAACTGATAATAAAGGGAGTTTTTAAGTAACGTTTTATGGACCGATGAGTCATGCTTCACTAGACGTGGAGTGGTAATTTTCATAATCAACATATTTGGTCGCATGAAAATCCGCATGCAGTTCGGGAAAGAAATTTTCAGCATGAATTTAGTGTGAACGTGTGGATTGGTATCTACCGTAATCGACTATTTGACCCTACCTTTTGCCTGCAAGGTTAAATGCTGCGACCTTCTTGGAATTTTTAAAGGCTGAACATGCAAATATGTGGGATGATGTTATGTTAGATTTAAGAAGATTGGCCTGGTTCCAGCTTGATGGTTGTCCAGCTCATTATTCGAGAATAGTTAGAAACTGGCTGGACGAAAATTATCCAGAAAGATGGATCGGCCGTGGAGGACCAGTCGCCTGGCCTCCACGATCCTCTAACCTAAATCCATTAGATTTCTTTGTGTGGGGATTTCTAAAACAAAAAGTGTACCAGACTCCCGTAACCACAAGATATATGCTAATAGACAGAATCAGGAATGCATGTGATGAAATAAGGCCTTATTTGAATAATGCTATACCACGTTCGATCATTCGTAGATGTGAACTGTGTATTGAACAATTGGGTTTACATTTCGAGCAACTACTAACTATCCAATAGCAT